CAGGTGAACACTCCTTTTTTTTTCGGCAAGAAAAGCGAAATTAGCCTCAAATATGGTTCTTTCCTTATTATTTCTTTTTTTAAATAATTTAACTGAAGCTCTTTGACTGCCAGACCTGGTGGCAAATGTCTGTCTCAGCTTCTCTGCCTTCCCTCGGTACTGGATGACCAGGGTGTAGAGGTATCTGCTGCAGCGCACCTTGAACTTGACATTATCTTTGTTCTTCTTGATCTTGACAGATTTTGCATCCTTCCTTCTGGCTGTGAGCAAAAAGTCCTTGATTTCTTGGATCTGTTTAGGCATGATTCCTGTGAATATCCTCTCTCCACCGGAAATATGCCTCTTAGTGTCATTCATTCGTTATCCTGTTGTGCCGTTACATACCACATAGGGCTCGCAGTCTATTCCTCCATTCCCTTCTATCCTGTGCAATCAGTTCAATGTCATGGATTGGACCCTGTCCAGCAGCTTTGGCCTCACTCATCAACGTTCATCTTACGGTTTCTTTTGGGAGCCCTCGCCTCCTTAATATTTTTTGATTTCCCGTTTTAATGTCTGTTTGACGTCTCTTAGATTGTTTGAACAAATCTTTAAGTGGCCAAAAAATCACAGCAGGAGAATGATTGTTTAGCAAGGAAACATACTGCCAAAAGAGAAACATATTAAAAAATTTATATATGTTGCAACAAGAAAAAACATATTACAAGATAAAACATATTACAACAAGAAAAAAACATTTAACAACAAGATAGAACACATTGCAACAAGAAAAAACATATTATAACAAGATAGAACATATTACAACAAGAAAAAATATATTAAAACAAGAAAATCATATTACAACAACATAGAACATATTACAACAAGAGAAAACATATTACAACAAGATAAAACGTATTACAAAAAGATAGATATATTACAACAAGATAGATATATTCCAACATGATAAAACGTATTACAAAAAGATAGATATATTACAACAAGATAGATATATTCCAACAAGATAAAACGTATTACAAAAAGATAGATATATTACAACAAGATAGATATATTCCAACAAGCAAAACATATTACAACAAGCGACACATATTACAACAAGATAAACATATTACAACAAGATAAACATATTACAACAAGCAAAACATATTACAACAAGCAAAACATATTACAACAAGATAAACATATTACAACAAGATAAACATATTCCAACAAGCAAAACATATTACAACAAGATAAACATATTACAACAAGATAAACATATTACAACAAGATAAACACATTACAACAAGCAAAACATATTACAAGATAAACATATTACAACAAGATAAACATATTACAACAAGTTAAACATATTAGAACAAGCGAAACATATTACAACAAGAGAAACATATTACAACAAGAGAAACTTATTACAACAACGGACCGATAAACCTCAAACTCTCCGAAATGAATTACCATAAATACATTCACTGGGAAGGTCATGGTTAGTGAGCATGCTTTAGATCTTTTCTCCAGGAAATGCCGGCGTAGTGGGTAATGAACATGCAGACAGATTGGCTGGATCTGCATCACTGGGTGGTGAATTGATACATGACAAGGCAGGTGTGGTCAAGGCTTTTGCGAACGAGCAACGGAATCAGTAGAGAAACAAGATTTTTATGGCCTGGAGAGAATGAGGCACCTGGGTGTAAACAGAAGGTCTGTCGTGCTCACAACACTCAGAGGAAAGGCAAGACGGATATATAACCAGATGGTGACCGCTACCATCAGCATTGGAACTCTGCGCTGGCTGCTGAAGATGAGGACGGAGCACGTATGGGAATGCCCTGAGTGATGTGATGTCAATTCTCGACTCAAAACTCCACTCATCTTAACTTTTTTTTTTGCTTTGCAAATGTTCACACCTGGATTTCCTCTAATGTCCTACCTGTGCTGAATTGTCCAACTTGTAATACTTTTGTGAATGATGGACAGTTAGAAGATTAGTGAACACTTATTTAGAAACATTTGGATAGATACAAAGAGTAATGATGGTGCCTTGAAAGAAATTGACTCACGAAAAGAACACGAATTGCCCACATCAGAAAGAGACAATCTACATTCTTTGGTGATGAGAATGAGAAAACTGGAGTACATCTTGACAGTAGGAAATTTGAAAGGGGGTTGGTGGGGGGGGGGGGGGGTGCATAGGAAGACCGAGAGAAAAGATGCTGAACAGTTTGACATCATGGCATGGAGGATCATCTGTGTCAGAGACAGACGTTTGTGGATGGACATGACTACCAACGCCAGACGGCATGCACTTTAAGTGGATTCTGGGGCTTCATAGTAAAAACAAAGGGGAGGGTGGAATTAATGCGCACACAGCTCCCTGACAAGTGTGTCAAGAAAAGTCGACTAATTATCAGCGTTTCCTTTAAAGCTTGATATCATCTGTCTGAGAGGCCGGAAACCAACAGCCTACATAAATAAGCCTGATTTGTAAAACGAATATACACGCAACACTGAGGTTCTAGAGCAAGAACAAAGTCCACACGTGGGCGATCGACTAGAACTTTCTGCCGGCCAACGCACAAACGTAGGTGAAGTCTCTAAACTATTGTCACCATAGTGAGCCCGCTAACTAGGGGCCTCAGAACTCTTGCGCTCCCTACCCCTCCTCCCAAAAAGTATTGATTGTATAGACGCTGCGTTTTTTTTTTAACCATATAGAGAAATGATGAATCAAAGTTAATATATTACATGTTATTTTAACTATAGTATTATTTATATTTACGGTTCAGCACTACGTTGTTAATATCATCATCATTATCATCATGCTCTTACACTAAGATTATAATTATTCATCTCCGCCTTTTGCCTGTAAAATTGGTTTTCGTTGTTTGGGCGCCGCTGTCCCTGACATGACTAAAGTAGTGTGGTTTTAGGACTAGGATACTGTTTATAAACTAATCTTTCATAAGCTCTAATTCTTCTAGCATATTACTCATAGACACCAAACGACAGACAAACAAGTATCATTATATTTTTTTATGTTAGCGCTTTTCCTAACAAAATTTTCCTTCGTTTTGTTCCGTATAAACTGAATTACTCCGTAATTTGCAAACAACTGTTCACAAAATTCAAAGTAATAAAAACAGGATGATGACAGACGAAACGGATGCGAAGCAAATCGTAAATTGAATACAAAATTTGAAACCATGTGATGAAATTTCTAGAAGGATCTTTTGAGAAGGAGTATCATATCGCATGCAAAATAATTAGTATTGTCTCGGTGGTTTCCTAGGACAGAGCGGTTCTCAAACTATTTTCGTCGCCACACCATTGTCAGGCTAAATAAATATTTGGGACACAGCTACGTCTGAATTGTTTGAATACTAGGGAAAAGAAGAGGCGGGGGGGGGGGGGGGGACAACGCAGAGGTAAGGTTCATTTGTCTTAAATGCGATGAATGAAACTATTTGGCCTTGTCTGCACCTTGATGATTGCAGGCAGAGGATCAGTGGCACTTCGAGATAAATATAAGGACAATTCTCAGCACTTTGCGGTTGGCATCTTATGCAATATGAAAGATTTCTGAGTGTGAAACACACACACACACATACACACACACACACACGTTTAAACAGTGGCGAGGAAAGACAATTTAAGTATCAGCTTTTAAATAACTCTATGCCTTCGTTATTAATTTCAATTTTTAGCCGACTTTTCTTGATTATTGCCGCAGCACCACTAGCATCCGCTCGTGGCACTTTAGGGTGCCCCGGCACCCAGTTTGAGAACCGCTGACCTAAGATATTGTAAACCTGACTTTGGTCCCGGCTGTCTGCAGAACTACAACTTGGGTTAAATAATTAATTGGCCCCGGTGGAGTGAGAGAATTCCGCTTTGGTTTCCCTTGGGTTATAAAGCTGATAGAATGGTATGGGGGCAGGGATATTCGACTAAAGGCCCGCAGACTGAATTCGGCTCGCAGAGGCCTGGCATGGGCTCGCGGATCGATTCAAGAACGATGATCTTTGTATGTTGAAGCTCAGGCCTCTGATCCATGACGATCCCCATTTGTACTATCTTGGCCTCTGAGTAATCTTAGCTGTCTAGTCCTGGTCTACGGCAGTTTCGTCTATTCCTTTAGCACTCCTCTTTTATTCTCTTTCTCCTCGGTTTTCAACACATCTTCCCTCTTTTCCAATACTTTATCATTTTCTTTCTGTTCGTACTGTTTTGTTCATTTTTTCACATCTCTCTTCTTCTCTTACGCCTCACCTTTTTATTTATCGCATTCTTTTTTTTTTCAGCACCCTCAGTCAAATTTGTTTCTCTTATTAACCCCCATCTCCCCTCCCCTAGTTCTTCTTCTCAACATCCTTTTTCTTCTTCTTTCTTCTTCTTCTTCTTCTTCTTCTTCTTCTTCTTCTTCTTCTTCTTCTTTTTCTTCTTCTTCCTCTTCTTCTTCTTCGTCTCTCTCTCTCTCTCTCTCTCTCTCTCTCTCTCTCTCTCTCTCTCTCTCTCTCTCTCACACCCCACCAGGACATCAGACAAGCAATAAACACCCCGTAACATAAAGTGCCACCATGCGGATTAGGATCGCACGTGAAGAGGTCTCAGAAACCCCTTTCAGCCGTTAGGCTATATTTATGGTCCGGCTATATTCAGTTCTTTTTCTTCTTCGTCTTTCTCTTCTTCATCTTCGTACTTTTAATTTTTTTTTTAAATATTTTTTTTCTTTTAATCAGTCAAGCATTTCCTTGATGCCATGCGGGTGCTGTTGGCACAGAAAGAGCTAACAGACTGGCCGGCTCTGCCTTAGTTTTAGATAGCCAGCATATGGATCTCACTGACACTGTTAATGGCTTCAGGGAGACAGGATCAGAGGATTGTGGAGGCAGCATGCTGTCCACATCAAGGCATCTTAATTTCTTTGTTGCCTTCCCCACTCTCTGTTTAATTTTCATCAGCTTCAACTTCTGTCTCTGCTTCTTAACAGCTCGCTAATTCATTCAATCTGGGTAATGACTATTTTCATCTTGCAAAGTTCTCTTGTCATAAACTTTGGTCAACTTTTCAACTTCCATTGTAGGATCTTCCTGTTGAACTGCATCAACTGTTGGTTCTTTAATTTCCTGTGCAGATTTCATTGTAACAATATCCTTTGGTTCAGAAGACTTGATGGCCAAACTTTTTAGACGTTCTAGATCTTTCTTAGCATAATGTTGTCGCTTAATGTTTCTCATCTGTCTGCAGTGCTTGCTACGGATACTCTTTGCCATTGTGAGAACTGTTGTGTCAGCGGACAAAGAGTGTGTTTGTGGTGAATCTGTTTGCTCGTGTCTGACTTCATCTTCGTACTTTGATGAACAAAATAAACATAGTTAATTAACAAAACCAGGAGACAATAATACATCTTCTTCTTATAATTATAATACACAGAAACATTTTAAACAAAACGATCAAGAAAATAACCAAACTAGCAACAAAGAATTAATGGATAACACTAAGACACACGGCGAGTAAAACGAGACAAACCATCAAGAAAATCACCAGCCTTAGATCAACAATTCAACGAGACAACGATCTAGGGAAACAAACCACCCGCTAGAAGTCAAATCACCGCAAGTCCCCGCAAAAGTAGGCCAAGCAATTTTTAATAACAAACATCGCGGAAATGCTTTCATTAATATCATAGGCCGTTGTGTACGTGTATGTGGTTTCTACTGCCGTATTTGTGACCTCTTGAAAGCTAGTTCCTCAAACAATCTGGTAATTTTAGCTGGAATATTTATTATTATTGCCAATGGAGGAGTGCCTGCGGCAGATGACGGCGGGGAGGTAGCGAAAAGAATGGGCAGTGTCAGAGATGAGAAAACACAATATATTTAGGCTTACAATAGCGATTGTATGGATCTGTGTTGTGTTCGAGGTGTTCACATCCATTTTTAAAACATAGACAGAATCATATATTCAGAATACCGGTGGAGTTAATGATAAGCCAAACGTATGGACGGTATATTAGCAGAAGTGGCAGAATATTTATTTGTTTAAGTATCCAGAAACAATGAGTTGTAAACCCTTTGGCTTGGTACTATGGATATCGCAACCCTTCGACATTGATTCCACGATAGATGCCGTAAACGTGGGAGATTTGTGGCTTTTCTGCCTACCACCGGGCGCGAACCTGAACTACAAGGAGTTGGTCAACCGGTCGTTGCGAAAAGGGTGTTTACCAACTGAGCTAGCGAGCCGGGAACAAGTGACAGAATTAAATATAGCCACTGTTAGGAAGCAAGCATGTGCAGATCGTGTAGTCTGGTTAGCGTCGGAGACTGGTCGATGTCCACCAGGGTTGTCCGTTAAGCCCTCGCCATTAAACACACACACACACACACACACACACATATGTGTGCGTGTTTATATATATATATATATATATATATATATATATATATATATATATATATATATATATATATATACACACACACATACACACACTTTCACACAACTGGAAAGAGAAGGCTAACCAGAGAGATGAATGGAGGCAAGTGACATCTGCAGCAATGAACCTCAAGGGCTCAGAATGCTGAAGAAAACGAAGCAAAAGAAGTTATATATATATATATTGTCAGCATCTGTGGCTTAGGCGTTGCGAACGCGCTTCGTAATTCTGTGGTGCCGGGATCTATCCCAGCTGCGGACGGTTTGTCTTTCGTTGGTTTCGACAGTTTTACGGAGATCTGACCGTTTAGGAGCAATTTTTGAACTTTAAAGTTGTCTAGAAAAACCACAACAACTAAAAAATGCTGGGATTTGTTCTGCAACGCCATGTGAAGGAATACGTGCATATTTCTTGCTGCTCGTTCCTTACCTTCCAGCCGGTCCCCTCATTCATAGGATTTACACTGGAATGTCTATTAATGTAGATTCAGGCTAGGCAGGTGTAGACCAGTGTAGAAACCAACGCCAAGCTGTCTGGTGCCAAATTGCCACAATTAAATCAAACTAGGTTTGTCGTTCTTGAAAAACCTTGTTGATAACCAACTCCTAAGCTATTGATATCAAATTATTTCTGCTTTTTCTTCTACCCTAGTCTCTCTAATGGAGAATATACCCTCAACCAACAAACGACATGTCGTACCATCGTTTCCTATCGCAGACAGCTCACCTTACTGCAACTGAAGAACAACCTGAAAAAAAGAGAAGAATCGAATCATCCAGAAAGCCATCAAAACTGGCACAAGACGATTATCATATTATAGTCATACCAGTGGGGGTACCGGGGCCTTATTATAGGGAAAACAAGAATAGACCCACTGCCTACCCAAAAGCATGTCGTATGAGTCGACTAATTGGTAGCTTCCTTCGAAGTCGGATTGCATCTGCTTGAGAGGCAAGAAACCAGCAGTCTGTCTAAATGAGTCAGATCTGTAAAACGGATGCACACGCAACACTCAGGTTCTGAAACAGGACTGCAGTCCAAAAGTGGACGAACAACCAGACCTTTCCGCCGCAGTTTACAGCTGGTGAACGTGAAGAAGAAGAAGAAGAAGAGGAAGAAGAATATTATGGTCATACCAGAGCAAATTATTTTTCTGTGCCTCAGAATAGGACACTGTCGACTTCGCAGCCACATGTACACAAAATTTAAGATTGGCGAATCAGCCATGTGTATCGTGGACTGGCACCTGAGACAACAGATCAAATTCTCCCAGACTATCCCAAACACAACATTTCCAGGCAAAAGTTCTGACCAAGAGACACTGGTGAAAGCCAAACTTTACGGGCCGCTGAGTGAATTACAAAAGACAGAGAAGTTCTTACTAGAAACAACATTGCAGATATGGATAATTTTTTTCGAGCAAACAAAATAATAATAAGAATAGAAAGAAGAAGAAGAAGAAAAAAGAAGAAGAAGAAGAAGAAGAAGAAGCAGAAGAAGCAACAGTAGCAGCAGCAGCAGCAGAAGAAGAAGAAGAAGAAGAAGAAGAAGAAGAAGAAGAAGAAGAAGAAGAAGAAGAAGAAGAAGAAGAAGAAGAAGAAGAAGAAGAAGAAAAAGAAGAAGAAGAAGAAAAAGAAGAAGAAGAAGAAAAAGAAGAAGAAGAAGAAGAAGCCGCCGCAGTAGCAGCAGCAGCTCACTTAACCTCAGTCGCCTTCATAACATTTTCAACAGAAATATCAAACCTAATATTGCGTACATATTTTAAACTTTGAATGTCCCCGAAACATCCCCAGTGGACTTCTCTTGTTTTTATTACCCCAGTCTATTACTTGTATCTTTATCGAAACAAGGCTAACAAGACGGAATTCATGTGGCTGGTTAGTTGGCATTGTCTCTGTCGTAGACGATTGTTTGTTTAACTGCCCCGGGAGTGATCTCATTAGGCAGTTCTCTGTTTATGTCCCATAATCTTAGCGATAACACGAATGGCCCGTAGGGACAGGGGATTTTAGAACAAATGAAGCAACCGAAGGTTGAAACCGCCATTTTGTTTTCTCGTGTTGCCAGTTAGTTGTTCACTTTAAAGGCCAATTAGGTAAAGTAATCAAAGTCACTTTTTTATAGTAATGGCAACAGCAGGCATATGATGCTAGGCTCATATATATATATATATATATATATATATATATATATATATATATATATATATATATATATATATAGGCCAATCGGCGTTCGATGGGTGATGTCATCAACATCATACCGACCGCCTTTATTTCCCATGTCTTTGCCTGGCACCCATTTTAGATTAGCTTGACTTTGAGCGAAAGTAACCAATTTTTTTTAATCCGCCTCATTGCGGACTTGAAACTAACACTTTGAGCCGACTGGCGAACTTCTAACGCTAATCTCCAGCAGATCCTTTGAAGCCAGTTGCGTACAGAAAGTAAAAATGACTTCTACAAATCATAGCAGTTTGTTATTTGCTTGGTTTCTTAATTGCCTTTTTGGTTTTCCCGCAATGTCCCAGAGGATTACAATGGGTTAATTAGTTATCGGAAGTTGTTCATTGTTACCCTTCAGCCCGTCAGCCCACAGCCCTGTGTCTTCCTTTTCTCCACTGGACCAATCTTTGGCAATGCTATATGTCTATTCCCACGAGGGATCTCTACAAGAAGAGCGGTGTAATGCTACTAATTGGCTTCGTGTCGTCTTATTTTTAAAAAAAACTCGTTCGTTCTCTAACTAAAGTAGTCGAAAGGCTAGTTTTCCTGTTATGTACGTTTTTAAAAAACCTGTTGTAAAGTCACAGTTTGGGATTCAGTGTTTACCATTGATCCACCAGATTTTAAAATATCACATACATGGTAAAACCTCGATTCACCTATGCTTGTTTGATGCACACAGGCAGTCAGGTAATATCTCTTTTGTTGCTTTGCAACACCTGTTGTACAATGATGATGATGATGATGATGAAGTAATAATAGCAGTAATAATATTCGTAATACGTGTTCTTCGTCCTTGTAGTTCGCATTGTTTCCTTCTTCTCCATATTGCATTCTCTCTGGGATTAGTTCTTCATTCAGCAAGCTTCTACCCACATTTCTTCCCATACTGTTTTCCACGTGTTTCTCTTATTTCTTCCTTCTTCGCCATATTCCTTCGCTCTTTATCGTGTACCTTTGCTTCCTCTTCCTATTTCTCTTTTTTTTTCTATTTTGTACTTCATCCTAGTCTTACCTTTTATCTGATTCTTCTTCTTTAGAAGAAGGAATGAAGAAAGAAGAACAGAGGAAGGAGGAAAGAAAGAAGGATTGAAAAAAGGAAGAAAGGAAGTAAGAAAGAAAAAGGATTAAGGACGGAAGAATAAGGAATGAAGAAAGAAGAGAGAAAAAGAAAGGAAGACGGAAAGATGAAGGAAAAGGGAAGGGGAAAAAGAAGAAGTAAGAGGAAGAAGAGAGAATAAGGACATAAAAGAAGAAAGGAGAAGGACGAGGACGGGCCCAGATCTGTGGTAAGACTGGTAATATCAATCGCCCAAAACTTGGTTCGGAATCCCCACCTAGACACATAGTTAGTATTGCCCAGGTTGACCCAGCCTACCAGGAAATGGAAGTGTAGGCGGTCGCGGTGAGGGCTGACCACATTATGTATCGAGTATACAGAATAGTCTATAACACAATGGGTCTATCATTATGTCCAAAAATGAGGTAAACTATACTTCACTTGTGTGTCCTTGGAGTCCCATAAGTTACATTAACATCATGTAGCAGGTCCTTTGCAGAACGTCGCTCTCATCACGGTCTGCCTGAAAGAAACTTGGTGTCTCGCCAG